ATTAATTATTATTTTTATTCCTTGTTGGAAGGGGAAAATCGGTACCGCGGATTTAAAAACGGTGCCGCGAGAGCCTGGTAAGCGGTACCGATTAATTAAAAATCATGTCGGGCAAGTGACCAAAATTCACCCGGCCCAATGCGAACGCCGACTGCGGCAGTTCCATGGATTAATATTTTGGCTATATCGGCGGTTTCGTTTAATTCAAAACGGTACCGCGAGTAAGCTCAACGGTACCGCGGATTAGCAAACGACAGTGTTTAAATAAAAAACAATGTCGCAAAAGGGAAAAACAAACGGAGCTGGTTGGGGAAGAAAACGACATCGCAAGGCTGAAAGCGGAGTCGTTTAATATTAAAACGATGTCGCAGGTAGAAACAAGCGGTGTTGTTCAGCTAAAAACGACACCGCTCAAGGCATCAACAACGATATTACTAAGCGAGGCGTTCGAGACCATACCACAGCGGGTTGGATTTTGGCGAGGCCTGGCAAGACCAACGACACTGCAAGACGAGAACAACGGTACCGTATGGTTGAAAAAACAATGTCGCGGAATGGAAAACGACATTGTTTGTCAGCATCGATTAGTGAAAAGCGATGCTGCGAAAGGTAAAACGACACCGCGGTAGTGGATAAGAGTTCGGCCAAAGGCGGCCCGCCAAGCCAAACGACAGCGCAAGACTGGAAAACGACATTGTATGATGGGCTAACGGTGTTGTTGGTCAAACCGGGTCGATGCAATTGAGTTGTGATTATAAAACGGCATCGATTAGTGAAAGGTGATGCCGCGGTATTGGTGAAACGACATCGTTACATGGACAAGGTTGTAGGATTTGGCTCAAAGTCGTTTCGCCAAGTTTCTGCAAACAGGAGCGGTTTCGAGGGCACGTGATTATCACGCAACAAGGAGGAAGTTACCTGCACGATTGACAGGAATGAAGACGTGGGAGACAAAGGCGCGAAGGCAGTTACGACGACTGCGGGGAGAAGAGCGAAGTATAAAGATTGGGAAGAGAGAGAAGCAAGAGAGGGCAAAAAATCAAATCACAAACTGCAACATCGCAGATTTATCTTTTCTCTCTAGTTTTCGTAGAATCGCTCTGTCAAAGACCTCCTTTGCAGAGTCGTAGTCGTAGCTTGTAGTCGTAGTCGCGGAGCTCTCCAAAGGAACCTCCAGAGGAGTAGAGGTAACGTAACTTAGAACACTCTCGGTTTGGTTTCTCGTTTCTCGTTGAACACCCTCGTTCGAACGTAGTTTGGAGAGGTGGTGAACCGAGTAACGGTTGTTTGATTAGAGGTCAAAGGTGCATCGATCAAATCAACGGCGCCGACACCGGCGGCGGATGTTTGACGATCGTCTTGGTTTCTGCTTTAATCGATCAAATCAATGGCGCCGACTTCGGCGGCGGGTATTTGACGATTTTGCTGATTTTGTGTTTGTGCTTACTTGAATACAGTGCGCATTGAACACGCGAGTTTTGCCAACGAAACACCTCGTCAAATTGTAGCTCCCTCTCACTCTCCTTCCTCTTCCATGTACTCCCTGTAACGCTTTCTTTGTTCTTGGCCTTGGCCTCCCCTTAATGCAAAAAAAAAAAATCTAACAATATGGGAGTTATGACGATTAATGTGAAGAAATCTGGAAATCAATCAAGTAGAAGAGATATGCAAATAAATATGGTCAATCAGCTGGATCCCGTCCGTGAATAAACTCATTTTTTCTTGACCCGTTCATGGCTTGAGTTCAAGTCTTTAAGTCTCATTTCTTAAGGAGAATCTTAAAGCCTTCCTATTGGTTGATAGTGGATTAGATAGTTAAAGTGGGTTAGTAGTTAATAGGTTGTTAAGAGTAAATGGAGTTATGCAAATATAATTAATAAAATTAATTAATGATTCTCTTTCTCTCTCCTCCCATGATTTTCTCCATAACCCTCTATCTACATTATAATAAAAAAATACAAAATTAATTTTCTTTAATGAAACCCGAATTTAATAAATTTTTTTTCTGAAATGGAAATTAAAAATATATGACCTCTCTCACATCTTGGCAACTTGCAATTTAGTATCTACGTTCTGTAATGACGTTATGAATATTTATAAATTAAATCATCATTAGGGCTTTTCGTTGCATGGGTTTAAGATTTTTCGTTTTTAGGTATTCGTTTGTGTTATTATTAATGTTGTTCGACAGGTTTTTTAATAATATTATATGACATTATTAACTTTTTATGTTTTGTTTTGTTTTGTTTTGTTTGTAACATTAGCAAAAGTGAATTTGTGTTTTTAATTTGTTGGTACTTGAAGTTCATTTACTATTACATCGTATTATCAATTTGGTTCGCAATGATTTATAATCATTTGAAGTTCTATTATCAATGTTTTTTGCAAGCACAATACAACCATTAGCAACAATTTATTTCATGGATTTGTATCATTAACATTTTTCGTTTATGTTGTAACTTTGTCAAATGTCATTATCAAGAAGCATACTTGTTAGGTATTCGTTTGTTTATGACATTAGCAAAAGGGATTTGTGTTTAATGATATAACTATGGTTATTAACCTTTCTGGTAAGTTATTAACATAGTTGGTGTCATTATTAATTGGTGTGTATACGCATTATCAATGTTTGAAAAAACAAGATATTAATAATATCTAGTAAGGTACTTAACAATTATTAGGTGCTATCATTATCAAAGTTTTTGATTGCATTATCCATTAAACACATGTTAGTTATTAATGTGTTTTTAGTGCTATTTGACATTAAACAATTAATTTGAATATTATTAATATTTTTTATTACAAAAATCTATTTCCTTATAAGTAACTTGCTCATTTGTTATTATTGGTTTTCAATATCTTTATTAAAAGCTTGATGTCATTTTATAATGTTGAAGTCAGACATTATTATATTGATGTTTTGTGTTTATTTTCAACGAAATACTTTTCATTATCAATGATTTATTGTATTGTATTAAAAGTTTGGTATTGAGGCGTGAATGTTAGTTTGTTTGAGCTAATATTTTTCTTGACAATGTTTGTTTGACTGAATCACACAGGTTCACTATGTCACAAGTACCCAAGATGTTGAAAATCAATATTGTGCTTTATGATCATTGAGAATGATAATGTAAAACAATATTAATTGATCATAAAATGTTAATAATGTAATTAGAACTCATTGAAAGAGGCCATGACAAGATAGTTATAAACATGATGTGAAAATGTGAATCATTAGTACTAAAGATGTTGTAAATCAATGATATTGTTATTCAAACTGTTAATGACCATGTTACATAATTTTAATGATTCATTCATAGGCGTTAATGATGAAACCATAAAACGGTAACAATTGATCCAAAATTGTTAATAATGTAATTGTAAATAATTAATAAGTATATTGAAATCGTTAATAGTGATGAGGTATAATAATAACGATTCATTTCATAAATGCTGATAATGTCATTGCAAAATGTTAATAATGCATTGCATGTTTCCACGAAGTGAGAGAGCATATAATTTTAATTTTAAAAAGTAAAAAAGTATTAAGTTCGAATTTATTAAATATTAAATAAAATATTTAATTAAATTAATTTCGAATTTCCTTTTCATTGTAATGGAGAGAGGGTTATGGAGAAGATCAAGGGAGAGAGAGAAAGAGAATCATTAATGAGTAATATTAATTATATTTTTATAATATCTTATTTATTCAAACTAAATGTTAACTACTAACCATCATTAACTACCTATTCTAGTATCCACCAATAAAAATAGTTTAAGAACCTCCTTAAGCATGAAGCTTAAGGATTGTATCCAACCCACCATTTCATTAACTGTCCATCGGTGAGATATGTTTATCCCCATTTAATTTAGCAGACTTAATCTCTTCTGTTTTATGTGGTAATTCAATTTCTTAAATAAAAAATCAGATTAATTATACTATTCAAAATTACATCCAATTGAATATATCTGAAAACATAATAAAAAATTGAGACATTTATTACCCATATGTATTATGGTGGTAATGCTTGATAGTACATAATATTATATCATTATGGTAAGAATATACTATAGTGTAGAAGATTGTATACATTATATTATAAATATACTAAAGCGTTATTGACCACTTTTCACCATTATTTACCGCCATTTACTGCCTTATACCAAGGTGGTACAATCCTGAAAATTTTCGCCATAAATGGGCAATAAATCACGATATTTTTATTCTTTTTTGCAAAAAATTTCAAAATCTGAGTGAAAACTAAGGTGATAAATAGTGGTACTAGGGTGGTAATGAGTGGCAAAAAAAAAAAATCAAAATATATTGAAGATGGATTACATTTTTGAAATTCAAGTTAAAACAAAAAAAATATAAACCAATTGCCATCGTGGTTGAAGCCAACTGGGAAAACCCCTAGCCGATTTACTAGAAATGAAATGTATGTTATTAAAGATGTCGAGATTATTGTGTTTGTGATAATAATTGAGTTATTATTGTCCTTGACCAAAAAAATTTCAATAATTGAGTTATGAAATTTATTATACCACAACTTTATTAGATTAGTGTCATTAATAATAATTAATTAGGTGTCTATACTATGATCCACCACAAATTACTGATTTTGACATAAGAAGATTAATGACTTTGTAGACCTTATTTGGAATAGATAAAATTAAAAATTTAGCATTACTAGCTTGACAGTTTTTCTTATTAACAATCTAGGTCTACAATCAAATGACCAATCCATAAAAGTTATGTTAACCCTCCTTAAAATAATTAGATAGAATTATATATATGCAGAGCCAAAAACCTGCCGGCTGCCGTAGCGGGTCAATTGTGGAGAACCACCAAACAGATCGGTTGGAAGTGACATGTCTAGATAGTTAGGAGTAGAAAGGCCTATAAATGGCCATGTCCATTAATGTACGTGTATATGCTTATGCTATATAATATAGTGTACTGAAAAACAAACCAAACAAACCAAAAGAAAGAAAGAAAGATGAAGGTGAAAGTGAAAGTAGAGACCACCACCATTCTCAAACCAACTTACGAACCCACATCCCCTCCATCAACCCACGTCCTCCCCCTCACCGTCTTCGACAAGGTCACCTACGACACCCACATCGCCGTCATCTACGCCTTCCGCCCGCCAACGCCGCCCAACGCCACCATCAAGCTCGGCCTCCAGAAAACCCTAGCCGGGTACCGCGAGTTCGCAGGACGGCTAGGGCGTGACGAGAACGGAAACCCTAAGCTCATCCTCCTCAACGACGAGGGTGTCAAGCTGGTTGAAGCCAGCACCGATGCTCGGCTCGATGAGGTGATGCCCTTGACCCCATCTCCGGCCGCGTGGAGCCTCCATCCGGCGCTGAAGGACGTCGAGGAGCTGGTTCAGGTCCAGCTCACGAGGTTCGGATGTGGCTCCCTCGTCGTCGGGTTCACCTCTCATCATTTGGTCGCCGACGGTCGTTCCACGAGCAAGTTCCTCGTTGCATGGGGTAGGGCAACTCGAGGACTCGACGTCGGTCCTTTGCCCTACCGTGAACGTGCAATCTTCGCACCACGGGAGCCTCCCGTGGTCGAGCACGACCACAGAGGAGCCGAGTACGAGACTCGTTGCAGAGACGAGAATTTAAAATTAGGTGTGTCCTCTTTTCAAAGTGACTATCTGGTTGACGGTATCGTCTTTCACAAAGTTCATTTCACGCTCGATTTCTTGTCCAAGTTGAAGTCGAGGTGCTGCACCGGCTCTTCGTCGACGAGCCGGTGCAGCACGTTCGTATCCGTGGCAGCTCACCTCTGGAGGACCATAACCAGGGCTCGGAACCTGGGCGGGTCCGACTCGACCCGGTTCCGGATCTCGGTGGATGGTCGGACTAGGATGATGGTCAACGATTCTAGGGTTCCCGATGAGTACTTTGGGAACTTGGTGTTATGGGCTTTTCCTACATCTCGAGTAGAGGACCTCCTGAATGAACCGCTGTCCTACGCGGCGCAGCTGATAAACGACGCCGTGGCGAGGGTCAATGACGGCTACTTCAAGTCGTTCGTTGACTTCGCCAGCCACGTGGATGTTGAGGAGGAAGGGCTGGTCCCCACGGCGGACGCGGAGAAATCCGTGCTGTCCCCGGATTTGGAGGTGCACAGCTGGCTGAGGTACCCGTTTTACGATGTGGATTTCGGCGGCGGGTGTCGTCCATGCGTGTTCATGCCGTCCTTCTTCCCGGCGGAAGGGGTGATGTTTATGCTGCCGTCGTTCGTCGGCGACGGGAGCGTCGATGCGTTCGTGCCGCTTCTCCGGGACAATTTGGACGCGTTTGAGAAGTCTGCTACGTGCTGGATTAATAATAGAGAGGTCAATTATTAAAGTCGTTGTGTTCTGTCGGCGAAAGAGGCACTTGACGTCACTTTGTCGGTCAAGTTTTAAATTTGGAGTTCGCATATTGGAATTCATTATGTTTGTATCTAAATCACAAAAATTGAATCTATATTATATCTTTATAAAAAAAGGAGATTATCAATTTATTATTATTATTATTATTATTATTATTATTATTATTATTATTATTATTATTATTATTATTATTATAGATTGCATAGTATGTAGGGTTGGAAATTCGGTCCCGATCTTACGATTTAAAACTCTATACAATTCGTTGGCAGACAATTAAAATTAATAAATATACGGTGTTAAGTTTGGGTATTATGAATCATATTCAAATATTGTTATTTTTGGTGTCCTAATCTCGACAAGATGAATCTCAAAACCCACCTTCTTGCACTCTGGATCCGCCAATAATTTCAGTCTTAACTTCATGTCGACTAATAATGAAGCTTACAACCGCCAATTATTAATTATAGAGGTCTATTACCAAAAATAAAATAATATTATAGAGGTCTTTTTTATCTAGTAGGACACTGTTTTTAAAATTCATTTAAAATTCACATGTGTCGTTAATCGTCATAATATAAACGTGAAGGCCCATCCTCGATTATGAGTTACTCATCCCCGATCAAAGTGTATATCACAATAAGAAGTATGATATAATACTATGTGTGAATATTTAAGTTTTGAGGAGATCGAGGTTTGCACCCTTAGTAATACATTAATCACATTAATTAAACCTATATTACTTTTATAAAAAAATATTTAAATTCGAGTAAAATGTCGGAGATATAATCCGTTAAAAATTAAAAAGCGAAAAGTAAATATGTAGGGAAGAGAAACATAGAGAGGAATGTGCTCATCAGGTATCGACATATTTTTCCTCTTCCAAAATTACCATTGTGCGTCCTAATTAGGGATGTCAATTCAACGTATAACCATGAGTATCCTATCCCACCGTAATCAATCAACGCGAGAGTAATTACCCGCTTTGACAGGTTAAGGGACGGGTACAGATAATACTCTGTTTCAAAATATAGATAGGGTACAGGCATGGTAATCACATATACTCGCTCGATTGTACTCGTCCGTAATTGTAATTATGTATGGTTGTAAGCTAGTAAGTCTATCTAATCTTGGTAGCAACAGCGGAACTTCAATCATATAAATATTTCCAATTCCATTCCTTCAATTTACCTACCCATAACCTTTGCTGACATTGCTGTTTTTTTTTTTTTTTTTGTGTTGTGAATTGCTGCAGTTTGAACCTTTTGAGGATTGAAGGTATTTAATGTACAATATATATGTATAAGTTCATATGGTAATATTATTTTACAATATAATTATTTACAACACAATGATAAATTCATATCTGTGGTTACCCGTTGGGTAGGGTATGGTTATATCCAGTATTCGGTGGTTATTTGACCGAGTATTTTAGTCGTCGTACCCAACAGGTTAGGATATGGTATAAGGTGTATCCGCACCCGATCCTATCCATTGTCATCTCTACTCCTAACATTAGATATTTATCATTGAGTACTTCACATCTCATCCAATCGTACTCGTGGCCGAGCTTGACGTCGGCGAGGTCGACGAGCTCTTGCTGCTCCTTCTCTTTGAGGGATTTCGGCATGGAGATGGAATTGGAAACCCCATTGTTGTTGTTACGGTGAATAGGGAGGAACTCGAAGTAGGCCATTGTTGGAATTAAGGGATTTCAGCATGGAGATCAAGATTTCGCGGCCGCCAGCTTGACACCTTCCATCCTGTAGAGCTCGGGATGGAAATGGTGGTAGAGTCCCATTCCGACCAGATGTGGGATGAAAGCAGGTTTTGCCCAAAAAATAATATTTTATTTTTTTATTTTATGATAAAAATGAGTTGAACATTAAAATAGATTAAATTTATTTTATTTATCATTTTTTAATTGCCACATCACTAAATTAACAGTCAATTTAACAGAATTAGGAAGCATTATGAAATATTAACAAAGCAATCATAAAATAGACACCTGTGTGGGCAGTAAAAAAAAAAGCACAACGATGTGGTTCGAACAGCTGACCTGCAATACAGAAGAATCCTAGGGCCAGCACTATTACAACTTAGTATAGGATACAACAATCGAGAATTATCAAGTTAAACTGAATTTAAATCTTAGACAACAAGCTGGCACCGTCCCTGCTGGGATGAATAATGCGAGCCATCGACTCGAGGTTTTCCATCATCATCAACTAGCAAGAAAGGCGAGTCATCAGATCAGGTAACTGAGACTCCAACATTCACAGACCTCAAACACTACTAACATAATTGAGGTCTAGCGAACAGAACCGTTGCTAGTAAGCAGCCTTGTATGACTAGCATTGAGCACCAAAAGTCTACTACCCGTAAACCGAATGATGACCGATACTATCACCACTGTTCACGGAAGCGAGCATTGTTGCCAGCTAAGGAGAACCCTAACCTAGTTCTGTACTGACCATATCATTGGAAACACTATAGTATCAATGTGGTATTCACATAATGTAACAAAGTCAAAGGGCTGGACTCTTGAAAAGGTGTTTCGAGAAACAAGATGATGTCCATGATAGACTGTCTCCACGACATAAGCATTAAAAGACATCATTACAACATTCCATGTTGGTTCAAATGTTCAAATGCAACAATACATCAGTAGCAATATTTGGCAATATAACAGCATTTGAGGAATCGTCCAGTATCACCTGGTACAGATAAAAATCCACAGTTCCTGCTGCAGAACTCTTTCAGTACCGGTACTTGGTGGAGTAGTCCTTGGGAGCAATGACGAGACCACGCCCTTTCCTCGCTCCCCGATAGACCGTCTCCACAATGTCAACAAACTCCTGCTTGTCCTTGAGAGCCCAGTTGATCTTGTTGTTGTTTCCAGTGCCGAGATCGATCATGATGTGCTTGTTCCTGAAGAAGAACATGACGGTTGATGGATCGTACAGCTCGTACATGGTGTTGAAATCGGGCACCTCGGTGATGTCCACCAGGTATATCACCGCAAAGTTCTTCAATGTATCAGCAACAGAGGACAACACTTCATCCATCTGCCACCAGACCACCACAAAGGCAGAAACAATCTCTCAGAACCCAGATAACCAAAAAAAGTCAAGACATAAAAGTTAATCAACCACATAGCACCACAATTAGACAAAACAAGACATGAAAGGGCATAAACACTCGCCCTCAAAGCGAGACACTCAAAAGACGATTTTTCGCCCTCAAGCAACAGAGAAATTTACCTTCAAACAAACCGATATAAAATATGCTTTGGGGGGGGACACTGAATATCCCAATGAACTCATCTAATCAATATAGTTAAGTTAAGCAACAAACACCATTGCACCGTTTTCGATAAAAGATTAAGGACCCTGAAGCTATAACGTATTAGGTCCATAGTAGGGATGGCAATGGGTAGGGTTGGGTGCGGGTTTACCCTATACCAACTCCTAACCCGCCGGGTAGAGCTTTCTAAAATACCCGACCAAATAACCACCGGGTATGAAAATTATATAATCATACCCTACCCACCGGGTAACCACGGGTATTCGGGTAACCATGGGTACGAATCCTAAACTATGAACTTATACACATATATGCACATACGTACTGTTGTCCATTAAAAATTCTCAATACTTCTAATTGTTCTAGTTTCAACAATCCACACAAATAAAAACAACAAAAACATAATAATTGTTCTTGCTTCTACAATCCACACAAACATAATAATCGTCTACATCATCATCAATAATGGTAGCTAAACTAAATTTCTCAAGCTAAACTAAATTTCTCAAGGGAAATTGACCCTTTAGTAAGCGGGGCGGGTATAACGGGGCGAGTATTATCGATTACCATACCCGTACCCTACCCTTTATTTTGAAACCGGGTATTACCCGTACCCGCCCCTTAACCCGTCAAAGCGGGTAATTACCCTCGTTGACCGGTTACGGTCGGGTAGGGTACCCATGGTTACGGGTTGGATTGACATCCCTAGTCCATAGTAGTAATATATGATCAGTGAATTCTCCAGAAGTTGGATAGCAACCAAACCAGAGCAATCTATTCTCTTGGTAGGATGACCGGAAGGAAGGCTACAATCCTGATCATATGCCCAAACCACAGGATACTCAGAAACAATAGAATCCCGCTGCAACGATGAACAATCACCGGAAACAAAGGCGGTTCTAAGGGGAACCCTAGGATAACCAAGCCAAGACGAGTCAACGCCGGAATTTCAATCATAACCCAGGTTCAAACATGCAACAATTGGTTCCCAATCGAAATTCGAGGGTGATTTCAAGTGTTAGGGTGAGGAGAGGAAGGAAGCATAGGGAAGAAGGTAGGAACCTGCATACAGGTCTCATCCCAATCGTGGCCGAATCGGATGACGACGAGGCGCTCTTCCTCGGCGAGGATGGCCTGATCGACGGCCCATCCAGAGTGCAAATGCGGCAGCAAGTAGGACATCGCGCCGGCAGCTTCTGCTTACTCTGTGCTCTTCCTCTCCAGTAATTTGATCTTCCCTGAAATTGAAATCCCTAGAAATCGGAAGGAGCGTCGGTCGTGGATGTGGCGTTGTTTCATAAGCACCGAGCGGGCCGGATATAAACCAATGGTCCTTGGTCCACCACCGAAACTACTATGGACAGCCTTTCGGGCCCCAAACTTAAACCTCCACCAATGTTTTCGGCTCGGTTTAGTATAATTTTGTTGTTGTGATTGTCGTACCACTGTGACAACTGATAACAGAGATACAAGCAAAACACCATGAAAATGAGAAAAAAAAAACATGTTTAGTTGATAATTATGTGTAATCATGGAAATTGATAATTTTATATATTTAATTATTTCAGTAGGCCTCCTCAGTATTGATGTTGAGAGTAAGATAAAAATAGGGAAATAATCAGAGGAATAGTGTAACATTATAAGTCATGAAAAATTAAGGAATAAAAGAATAATAAAATAATATTGACAATAAAGTTTAGGTGATGAGTTATGCGAAAACAGAGTAGAAAATAATTTGTAGAATGCAAAGCCGAGGTCATCATCGAGAAGAGCACCTAGGCTATAACGCCCTTGCGAAAACAGGTTGTAGGAGAAATTGAAGGAGTTGGACGTCCAAGAAGTGATCGTGGCCGGAGTTATGACGAATCTTTGCTGCGAGACCACGTCTAGGGAGGCATTTGTGAGAGAGTTTTGGATTTTTTTCTCCACCGACGCCAATGCCACGACGACCGCATATTTTCCCCTGGTAATTATCACTTTCTATTAAGCTCTCTTGATCATACCGATCAAACATCCCAAAAAACATGGACGGAACCCACAAATCAGATCACATCAAGTCTAATTACTACTACAATAAACCTCTAAAGGATGGTAGACATTGTACCTCCTCTCTAAATACATTTTGACCTAATGAAAAACAACAACAAAAATCCTGCTTAAACTGGGCAAATAGAGCTGGCTAATCACTATGACAACCACCAAAAACACACTTGCAACGTGCCTTCCAGAGAAGACTCATAAACCAGCACCAAATTGCAGCAAAAACTCTTCCATAAATGCCACTCTTCTTCACTTAGCACACATTTTGCTCAGAAATCCCTCTAAATTCCAAGGCCATAGTTGCTAGGGGTGTTCAAATGGTTATCATGGTTATAACCAAACCAAATAAGGCTAAATTTCATTAACCATGGAATACAATATCATAACCAAACCGTCCAAACTAATACAACAACCAAATTAACTAAACTAAAGTTTAATCGATTTGGTTAATTGGTTAACCAGATTAACCAATATAAAATCACATTATCATTGACGATGAAAATTTTCCTGGTTAATGCAACAATTCGCAATTTATATAATAAATAAAACATAACAATCAACACGTAGTTATAGTTGACCCTTAACAAAAATACATGCAACAAAGACAATTACCTTACGATTAGTATAGAAGTATTCACCTAACAAAAATTTATGACAATGGTATGGGTTAATGAATTGTTGTGTTTGTGTAAATTGACTTAGTCTCTTAGCAATTATCATAGGCTGGAAATGACCTTCCTTTCAGTTTTCATCCATCATATTGTATGAAATTTATCTAAATTAGGCGTCCATATGTTGTGGTCTACATTTTACATATACAAATATACACTATATGAGCAATATTGAGCTTTATATTTTATGAGTCTAAAAGGTATGAACGTTAACTCTTGAGTGGTTATGTAAAGTATTAAGTATGTGTATACAATATATGTTAGATATATGACTAATTACTTAACTGGTTAATTTGGTTTGACTGGTTAGGAGTGTCTGAAACCAAACCAAACCACCTAAACCAAACAAGCTAAAAACTTTAACCAAACCAAACCAATTATCCAAATTAACCAAACCAAATTATCCAAATAGTACTGGTTAAAACGGTTATCATGGTAACCAAACCGTTTGAACACCCCTAATAGTTGCACTTCTCGGCCAAAGACTGCATCATAGAACTGCAGAGTATACTGACAAGCACAAAACAAATAATTTCTCCTCTCACTTGCACTATTACAAAGCACACATGAAGCATCGACAATTCTTCCCCAATCCTTTAGCTTATCACGAGTGGTTATACTATCCAATATAATATGTCATGCAAGATATCGATACCTAGGCAATGGATACTTACTCCAAATCACTCTCCACCACTGCATCATTGCTCCTTTTTCTCTAATAGAAATTCACCCTGACTAACAAAAAACTTCATAACTTTGTTAGTGTGTGGTATAAGATCCACTATGGAACATCTCTCAACAACTCGAGTTATTAGGACCAACTGTAACTAGATATGGTATCACTATCAGAGCCTTCTGTGATCGAGAGATTTTGTGTTTGAATCCTTATGACCACCATTTGTTAAGCACACGGTATTTCGACCTGTGCAAACTTCAACGTGTTAGTGTGGTATAAAATCCACTATATAACCTCTCTCAACAGTGACATTACTGTAAATAGAATAAGTTTGGACTCTGTTACTCTGTTTTTTGCAACAGGGTAAACAGGGGATGGTGATTACCTTTGGAATGATTCTGTTTCTAATAGTGTCATCGGTATAAAATTTTCTTCCCACTTTCAATTTTGGCAACCTTCAACCGAGGCATCTTCTTCATGAATTTGTTGACCAAAGGAAGCAATTTGGTCTGTGACCGAATGTGGAATATCTAAGATGGAATTACTCTTACCAGAATGTTTGATCACCTTGGTCAAGATTTCATTTCTTTATTTCTTTGGATTTTGTTCTTCTTTCCCCGTTCCAGCGAGAACACCCTCTCGGTAAAGTTCATCCCACTAATCTTCCAACTACATCTTCATCCAATTGTTACTCCGAATTTCTACAATGTTTACTTTTTCGATTAGAGCGGGTTTTTTTCCATGTCGTTAAGTCAAATTATTTCCAAGGGGTGTGGAGGTGGTAAATGTGCAGGATTATGTCCAGGAGATCCTGGGTTCGATTCTTGCCAGCCGCCACTTCTGCGTTACTCCTTTGGTGGCCACCGACATGGTTATAAGCTCGTATTAAACCCTCCCAGGATTTGCCAGGTGTCTATAGAGGTCGGGGTTTGTCGTTGCAAGACGGATCTCTCCTCGTATAAATTTTTTTATTTCCATAACAAAAATTATGAAGTTGCTATTCCTTAAAAGGTGATGTAGATATATGTTCCATTGGCTAACAAGTAACAAAAGCACCAGCCCTTGCACAAGAGAGACTTGGTAGTTGACCATTTACAGGCTCTCAAAGCTTCAAATGAAAGCCTGAAGTTGCCATCCAGATCAGTTGCAGAGTTATGGGAAAGGAATAGAAACAACCAAATCGTGGATCTAATAGTATAGTATGGTCAACTGTGGGAATTTGTTCTTCTAGGAATGGACAAGCCAATCCATTCCATATACTGATATACAACAAAGGAACGGAAAGTCCTCCATTAGAGGAAGTGCATGTACTCCTCCAAACATGTATAAATAGGGCAAAGGTTGCCGCACACACACATAAAACCATCTAGAGACATTACACATGAGAGAGCCAGCCAAGAAGGGCTGCATAACATGAAGATAAAGAGTCACTTGTCTGGTAGCTGTTACGGTGATGTGACGTAGGGGATGACGTTTTTAGGATTTTCTCGTAAAAGTAATAAAACACAAGAACTGACAAAGGAAATAACTAAGGAAATAGCAAATAACAAACGAAAGCTAAAGGTTTGGGTTCCAATCTTCTTATCATTAATGAACGAAACAAGTACATATTTATAGGCACAAAACCTCTACCTTTAGCTATCAAGATTATGACTCCTAAACCTCTAAGGATATTACTAACAAATAACCCAATCCCATACGAACCAGGAAAGTAATAATAAAGATAATATAATAATAAAAGCCCAATAATGTAATAATAATAAAATACTAAAGATACGCAAACCCAGTCTCCTACGAAATGCTACGATGCCTGATCTCGTAACATCCCTCCCTCCTTGAGCACAACCTTGCCCTCAAGGTTGGTCTTCCTCCTCGATGAAAGTGCCCTCCTCGCCTTCACCGCACGCGCCAATCATAAGAAGGACGTTGTTATTGGCGCAACGATGACCAATGGTGAAGCGCTCATCGCAATGGAAGTATAATCCTTGCGCGCGAGGTCGAGCGACTTTATCTGGCGATATTCGGCGTGCTGCAGGTTGACGAGGTGGCACAGGGGATGATGATGTCGCTGCTGGTGGCCCCGCTTCTGGTCGTGGCGCATTTCGCATCACCGGACGATGTTTGGTGAGCTCCTCATTCTTCACCTTAGCGAGGCGGATTGCTTCTCGCAAAGTTTCTGGTCGGAACATCCTTATAGCATCAGATATCTCTGGTTTTAGCCCTCCAATAAATGATCCCACCAGAGCTTCTTCGATCCACCCAAAACAGCGATTGCCCAGCTTTTCAAATGCCAATAAATAGTCGCTTAACGATCCAGTCTGCTTAATTTTGGCGAGGGCCTCGTGGTTAGATGCTCCCTCTGCTGGGCCAAATCGAGCCCATAGCTCCTCCCTAAACCTCGCCCACGTGATCGGCAGCCCCCGGTGTGGCATATGTGCGATCCAGCCACTGCCACCATTGATTTGCATCTCCCTCCATGTGGTATGAAGCGAGAGCCACCTTGTGCTCCTCTAGTGTTTCTTGGACTCGAAAAAATTGTTCCACCCTTGCAAACCATCCGGATAGATCCTCATTACCCTTGTATTTGGGAAATTCGAGTTGGGCCAGTTTAGGTTTGAACCACCTTGTCTTCTCATCCTTTCCGCCACTCGGTCATATATTCGCCTCTCCAAATTCTGGCGCATTCCCCCACAGCCCAGGGGTCCCAGACGGTGGCCCAGTCGGGGCCTTATTGGCGCTTGCCAGTTTGCTCCAAGCCCCCTCGCGGCAGGTCCACTCCCATCCGGGTCGTGCTCTGTGCGTGTGGCCCCGACCCAGACGGCCCCGAGCCCGACTTCCCCGCTCAGCATCTGGCCCCAGTTGAGGCCCAGGCCCATTCCAGTCGCCCCGG